CCTTGGGGATGGGTCGTGAAACCTGGGGATGGGTCGTTCAACCTTGGCGATGGGTCGTTCAACCGTGGGGATGGGTCGTTCAACCGTGGGGATGGGTCGTTCAACCTTGGGGACTGCGACCACTGCGAGAAAAAGACGACCCGTCCGCCGCAAAAGCCCTCAAAAGCTCTATCTTCCACTCATGTTGGGTGCTTGATTGTAATATGTATATACCTGGATCTCCTAACTAGGCCAATGTTCTGCCGAACTGGGCTGCTTTTTTCAGATGAAAAGGCGGAAATTTGTCTCAGTTGGAAGATCCAGGTACCATTATAATACAAAACATGTGAAGTGCCAAGCGTGCAACTACCCAGTGACATGACCGGTGTCGCGAAAGAAACCACGACCCCAAACCAGCCCGGGACAGATAGCGTTGGGCCACCCGTCTCAACGCGTTTGTCACGCCGGGACCTTCGATTTTGGGCTCGGTCTTCGCTCGGCCTCGAGGAGATGAGGAGCAGAGAAAAGCGGCAAAAGAAACAGCTGTACCAGTTAGACCGACTCCCGTTGAAGTCCAGTTCGACTATATCAGGAACCGACTGAAGGTTTTCAGGAAACTCCTTGTTCCTCCGGTCACTGACCTCGTCAGACAAGCCTCGTTCGCCTTTGACTCGCAGCGGACCCACCAACTGCTACAAGAAGCCGAAAGCCGGCTTTTGCGCCTTGTGAGAGATGAACAAATGACCCGGTCGTCTCAGTGAAAAGGTCTGCATCCAGCACTTCCCTTCCTCCTTCCGCAAAAAAAAACAGATTTGTGTGTATTTTACTCTAGAGGATGGGTCCATCCCCTGGTTTTTCGCGGCTGGTTATGACTGGTCGATGTTCCAAAGACCGAGATCGTTGCCTGGGAGGTCTCCCTTCCATCTACACACCCTCCCTCCCTGTCTCTCCATGTCTCTCCCACCTCGGCCTTTGCCTCGGCCCTTCATGGCCTCAGGTTCCGAAGAGAGAGAACGGCCCACGTGTGACACCGATGTCACACAAGAGGACACGAGGAGGAGATGTCACACGATGGTGTCCAGTGCAGATGTTTGAAGTGAACCGGAGATTTGGACCAATTGGAAGTGGATTTCAGCCGAACTTCGAACGCCCAACTGTGGATTTCGCCCAGTCCACCGAGTCTGCATTCAAGGCGCTGAAACCTCATTTTTCGATGACACAAAAAGCGAACAGAAACGATGCCTGCGAACCGATGCCTGCGGTTCCATGCATGCCCCTGTCAACCGCTCAGTAGTACGAGTCGTTTTGCTGCCAGGACCGGGACCTGCGTGGTCACTGGGAAGGTCCTGGTACGTGAAACACAAATGATCAATTTCATGGTGCACAAGATGCTCAAGACGCTCACCTTTTTCAGATGGACCTGATTCCCTTTCTTGGTCAAGATGCGTTCTTCCGCTCATCAGCGTTGAAAATCGATCCGCATTCCGAACAACTTCGAACCATCCTCACCACCTTCCAGCCATCCGTCTTCAAGCGATTGGCGCATGGCCGGTCTGAGCGTTATGCTGAGGTTAAATTGATCATGTTGACTGATGAATCCACCGAACCCCAAAATATGGAGAGGGTCAAACCAGTTCTTCATCGTCGCGGAAGACGTCGCAGCCAACGACCGGTCGAGTCCGACCCGAGCCGAGTCGAGTACCTAGTCTGGTCTGGTCGAGTTGAAGCCACACTTAAAGTCTGAGGCTCAATCTCGGCTTTTGTGCATTGCAATCAGAAATGACCAAGGATCACGGGATCACGTGCCTGCAGTATCAACTCCAACGAGATCTTCCAAACCGAAGAACATGCATTTGGAGATATTTGGAGCTAGTATTTG